GTGTGTGTGTGTGTGTGTGTGTGTGTGTGTGTGTGTGTGTGTGTGTGTGTGTGTATGCGCACGTGCGCACATGCGCGCGCAGATTGCTAACATGACAAACGCATAACGGCCTTGTACAGTGTTCTTGTTCTTTCTGGACAGAACTGCGCCAACGTGGAGGGCAGCTGGCTGCCTCAGTGCTTGCTGCTCACAGGAGAGCCTCTGCTCCTGAGTGCCAGCACAGGAAGTTCATGCAGTGTGCTGTAAAAAGATTCTACCTTCCCAGACTGCAAACTCCAGTGTGTAATAAAGTAGCCTATACTGGCTGAAGTCTAACAACTATTGCAAACTACTGTTATGGTGCCACAGTGGACTCAGTGAGAGACATCACCTGAGATCTAATCACAATAGCTTAAATCCTCGCTTCACCCCTGTTCTCAATAATCCATGAACCTCATGTTGAGATGTGTTCTCCTTCCCAGGCAGGATGCTAGATTCTGGCTCTCAGTTCTGCCAATCAATCTCCTTGTACATTTCCTTTCACTGCTCTGCCAGTTTCTAATTCCCTCTCTGCATTTAACTCTGACCACAGAACAATGGTTAGAGTGCTTGGATCTTGCAAAACCACCCCAACAACATTCTTACAGGGACTTCCCCAGAGCAGAGAGTACATGCAAACAGGGCTGGTCCTACTGCCCTGGTCATCTGCAGGAATGAATGCAGTACCCAACAACATGCTATACAGTCAGTGACCGTTCTGACCAGGTACCAAAATGGGAAAGAATTACTGACTTACTCTCAGTAATGCTATTACATATGCTGAAAAGAGCAGAATGATGGCTGGGGTCTTTATAAGCAAAGTAACGTGAGGGCAAGGGCAGGGGTCTATGGTACCAGAAGCTTAGGAAGCTTAGGCAGGAGGATACTTGAGCTCACAACTTCAACACTAGCAGGGGGCGACATAGTGAGACTCATCTCAAAAACAAAGACCCCTTGGCCCCCACTCCCAGCCCACAGGGTCCCCTGGAGTGTGGCTCTTAGCTGTTCTCCTAATTACCTAGGCTCAAGGTTGGACACTGTAAGTAAGCAACAGGGGGGGTCTCCCAGCTCAGGGCTGTTACAGAATCCAAAGCCACTCAAGGGAACCGTGTGGAGACGGTTCACTTTAAAAAGCATGTGTGAGAGGTCATTAAAGAAACAGGAAAATATACTCACTTGCCAATGTCGTCTTGATCTGCAAACTTCTCATCGTTGAAGCCAAACTGGTCAATAAAATTGGACGTCATTTGTTGCATCTGATAATCAGAAAAGGCCTGGCAATCCCAGGACCAGTGACAGTGACATCATGATTCTAATGACATTCTATACATTATTTGCCCATTTGTGTTCCAGAAACCACTTAAATTCATACAGCCATGTGGCTTTAAAAGTTGGTGTGTTTTTCTTTAAAAAAAGAAAAATCAAATAATTTCAGACACATTTTCCCCCAAAGGGGGGAATTTTTAAAATGTGACACACAAACTGCTCCATTACACATCATTAAGAAATACTTAAAAGATCACACTAAAATGTGATTACTATAAAGTCTCTGGACAGAGAACTGGGTTAACCTTAGTGTGAAGAGGTGAGAGACATGTAAGTCTGAAATTATCAGAAGTATCATCATCTCTAGACACAACCAACAGCATCCTAAACTATAACACACCACCCCTAACTTCCCACCCTCCCTGGCCCCCACCATATCCCCACTCCCATCCACCAGAGCAAAAATAGCATCAGAGGAAGATTGATGGACATAGTCACGATCCTACAAATGAAATGCTGTCTGCCTACGTCTTGGAGGCTGGGAACTGTCTGAGAAGAACACTTCTCACAGCCTCCCTGAGGGGCTTTAACCTCATCAGAAATCGTTCAGAAAAGCCTGAATACTGCAAGGCCTACAGAGGAGCCAATTCTATTTCCACCAGGCTCAGGTGAGTCTTCCCAGGTGGAAAATGGGGGAATGTTCTACTGGACCCCACCCAAGTGCTAACAATCTACTTATGCCATCAGGAAACCTGCCCTCACCACCCAAAGACACCAGGTGCAGCCTCCCTCCTCACTCTCACCCACACGATCACCCTGTGAGTACTACCCGTGGTCAAGGACAGAACCAGCAGTGGGACCCACGCAACAGCACTTGCTAACGAGGGCTTCTGAGGACACTGGTTGCCAAGGAGGCAGCTGTAATGGCGTCAATAGAGTTCTCCTTGGGTCCTTACCTCAGCAGAGCCCACAGTTCCCACCCTGCACTGTAGAAATACCTCTGCCGTTCATCTTGACCACACTAACTCTCATAGCAGGGAATTATGGCATGGATAATCCAAGTTGTATGTAACTTAAAAATAAACTTCATGTTTGGCTTTGGAAATTATATTTTGCTTAGGTGTGAAAATAAAACAAAAACAAGGAAAACCTAACCAACCCAAGCTTCACTTTCCTCTCAAGCAAGACAACACCCTCCCCCATCAGGCTCACGGAGATGGCATGACATGAGCTCATGGGCTATGGGGACAGTGGGCAGTTGGCTGTGGGACAGGTATTCACAGGGTACCCAGAGGCAGCGTGGCAAGACTGTGCTGGGTAAGGTCTGCAGTACAGCTGAAGCAGTCATGGGAAGCTGATTAGAGCAGAAAAAAAGGAACAAGTTCTAGTGCTCCGGGGAACCAAAGGAAAAAAGGACAGGCAGCCTTCACAGCCACGTCAGCAAAAGAAGCTCAGGTCCTCTGACCTGGAGTCTTATCGCATATGAGGCAAAATAGATGCTCAGTACCTCCCAGGTGTGTAAAGGACCCATGGGGAAATCTGTTAAGCAAGCAACACAAGATAGGCTCTAGACTTATCTAGACTAGAATCTCAGAGCAAGGCAAGGGTCCCTCCCAGCTGCTTGCTATAGATTGACTTTCTTCAAACTTGTCATGCCACTTGTAATACAATTCTTTTAGATATGAATGGGAAGAAATATTCCTTGAAATTCAACACTTTACCAGTAAATATACAACAGCAAATACACTGCAAATGTATGCATACATACACGGACACATACAGATACATTCACATGTACCCATATGTACTTTTATTTGTTGGCCCTATGCACCTAGATAGAGAGAGCTACAGCAACTGACAGAAGCTGGGATCAGAGAGTCCTCCTCTGTCCTTGGTGTAGCACAGCTTCTGAGTAAAGCAAAGAACTTCCTGTTTGCACTGGCTTTCTACACTACTGCTACAGAAGCCAGCACAGCCAAAGTGAAGAGCTGCCACACCTTCCATGCAAGGGTGCTGAAAATTCACCTGTCCTAAGCTGGAACAACACACCTGGCTGCAGTAACACTAAGGAGCACTGTCCAGTACTGCCACCCTGGAGAGGGTGGGGACAGATCTCTAATAGTACTGCCACCCTGAGCACTGAAGCTGCTTTGAACTCAGTGTGACTTGTCCCAGGCCTGTGTGTGATGGGAGGTGCTAAAGGCGTCCGCTTATTTCTGACACCTATCCACACAGTAAAGCGGAAGAGCTCGTTCCCTCCCCACCTCTGGGAAGCCAAGTTTGGGGGACACTGGGAATCCAGGAAGTACTAGAGCAAACAAAACAAAACTGGCAGAGGCACGCACATCCCGAGGCACTGGCTCTGCTCAGGGCCACATCTGTGACAGGGTTACCTTGTTAATAACTGTCCCACATTCTGCACACTTAGGGGCTCTGAGCAGGAAGCCCACCTTCCAACAGGAATGAGAGAATTAACAAGCTGCTATCTACAGATTGACATTCTGCTGACAGCAGAGATTATGACGACACTGTTAGGTTAACCTAGACCTTCTTTCTCCAGAAACATGTTTTGGATCAGATTCATTTCAAAACAGTCCATGATTGGTTCATAGTGTAAGTGTGCAAAAAAGAGCTACCGTATACATGTCAGTAAGAGTGACTAGTAATTACTCCCCACGTATAGAGGTTACAGGCAGGGGATGGAGCCCTAAGCTGAGGGTCCTGGTCAGGGCTATGTCAGGAAACCAGTTTTGGGACTGGACTGAACATGAGAAAACACTCAAAAACAGACATGGCTCTAGAACCAGGTATCATAAAAAGTGAGGCAATCCACTTTCTAGATGGCTAAAAATAACATCTAGATTAGATCAGTAGCTGTAAGTTTAGCATATGTAAAGTTTTCAGTTTGATGTACAGCAGTGAGAGGAGGGGAGGGTATGTATGACAAAGTTTAGCAACATAGTTAGGAAGATATTAAAGGTATCCTTTTTCCCTTCATATATTTAAAATTCATTTATTTAGTGTATGTATGTGGAGGTCAAAGTCCCATGACTTGTGGGAGTCAGTCCTCTCCTTCCACCATGTGGGTTCTGGGGAGCAAACTCAGGTCTGCAGCATCTCAATGGCTGAGCCACCTCACTGGTCCAGGCATCTTTTTTTCTTAATAGTAGATTCGAACAGGCACAAATCTAGGTTTACAGTGATGCATTTGGGCTCAGGCCTGGTCCAGCTGACTGTCTAAATAGTCTCCGGTGGAAGTGGGACAGTGCAGAGCTCTGATAACACAGGGCTGTTTGGAGCACAGTTTGCTGGGCTGGGCTCCTAGGCAGCCAGTGCTTCTTGAGTAAGATGTGTGTTCTCCAAGAAGACACTGCTTCTCCACAATGCTTCCTAATTCTAACTTTAGGGGAATGGCTGCCAACAGGAGCTAGTGTCAAGAAAGATAGGGAGACCAGCAAGTACTAAAATTTTACATCATATCTAGCTGGCTGGGAAAAGCTAAACTTCTTCAGTATCAAAAGCAGGCAACTGCTCAGTTGCAATACTGGAATGTGATGGGCATGCAATGTGGAAGCAAAAAACAGCCACGCAGAGAATTCAAAGCTTCACACCGACCCCAGTAAAAAGTGTTGCTGAGACTGAGAAAGAAGCCAAGCACCACCCAGTATAGTGTGGCAGTGTTTCCTTACTCCTACTGTTGCTTCTATTCTGAACTCTCAAAGAATCTAAGAATGACCACAGTATAAGTCCTCTGTTTTTGCTAGACAAATTAAATGCAGTTAACAAATAAAGATAAGTTGGGGGCAGGAGTGGCAAGAACGATTCCGACTAAAACTCCATTTAGATTCCACACATAATTAAACCGCACTGAAGAAGGACTATCTAGATAGCCCGCGTGGTTCAGAGGCACTGCACAAAGTTTACATCTAAGTAACACAGCAGCACAGCCATTACAGTCTGCAGAATGAGCATGGAGGTGACCTGCTGACACCTGTTTCATGCCGTGCTCACCAATACCCACCATTCCTCACTGTTACCCAGGAACATAACAGTATAAGCACACCTAGCGAGTCCCCAGCTCTCCCTGTTTCAATCATTTTTGCCTAATTGGTAGCAATCCCAAACCGCATTCTAACACAGTGACAGATGATGATTTCCAAGGGCAGCTAAACTATGCACTTAAGATAAAAATAAATAGCAAAGCTTTAGGTGTGACTCACTTGCTGCAAAGAGGAATCCTGTGAGAAACCCGTGTCTTTAAAGTCAATTTCATCATCACTGGATGAATGAATATGGCAGGTTGTAACCTATATGCATAAAAATGTAAAAAACTATTTAACATAGAAAAGTGGTGGACATTTTGTATCAGCATTTTTTATGGAAAAAAAATATCACATTCAGTTTTTGTTTTAATGTACTAAAAGCCAAAAAACCCCAGAAATAACAGTTATGTGGTCAAGCACACCCAGTCAATGTAGAGTCCACTCTGGCTGCACACCCAGTTGGCTGGTGGTTCCACTCCTCAGGACTACCATGCCCAGGAATCACACAGGAAGGATGAATTACTCCATTCAAGGGGAAAGGCTGAAGTGCAGTGCAGATGAACAAAAATAGCATGTATGTGTCAGGCCTGTGGGGGTAAAACACTACCCTAGGAATCACTCATGAGCCACTATAGAGGTTGGCCTTGTAGATAACCATTTCTCTTCAGTCTTGACTTTCCTGCCTATACCAAGAAAGACACTGGTCATAAATGCTCTAAAGTCAACAGTCTCCTGACCAATAAAAGACTCTCTGAAAATGTGACCTCCCTGCACCACAGAGAGTAGTCAACTCAGTAACTACGAAAAACACCAATATGAACTGCTTACCATTCATGGTCAAGTGATGCTTGCTAATCGGAAACGTGTTGACTAGCACAGTACTGATAATAGCCCTCACTGTTAGCATCTATGACAATGAACAGTCAGTCAAATTCTGTAAGAAGTGTTATATTTTGGAAGGTCACTTACAATGACTTTAGAGTTCTTTATATTGTTTTACTATGTAGCCTAGGCTTGCTTCAGGATCAGATCTACCTACTTTACTCAGCCTCCCAAATGCTGGGATTACAAGCATGTGTCCCATGCCTGCTCTTCTGTGCCTTTAGTCAAGTGTTCTGGGTAGAGATAAGACATGCGTTCCTCTGCCAACTCTACGGCTGTGCTTCAGAGCCTGACATTAGCAAACCAGTACACATCATGCTAAGCCAATGTCTATTTGGAGTACAGCCAGAGTATTAGGCATAGAAACTGGACAATTTAAATTTAGCTGGCCTGAATGAAGACAGCAGAAACCTAGCTGCTCCCAGGAATCCTGTCAAGTGCAACTAGGGTACAAAAAAACCACAGGTCAGTGGTTCTCAACATGTGGGTCGCGACCGCTCTGAGGCCACAGATATTTTTACATTACAGTAACATTAGCAAAATTACAACTATGAATGGCAACAAAATCATTTTATGGTTTGGGGTCACCACAACATGGGGAATTATATTAAAGGGTCGCAGCATTAGAAAGGCTGAAAACCACTGCCATAGGATACCCCCCCCCTTCCCAAAACAAGAGTTAATCATACTGTTGAATAAGGAGGAGAGTTTTGTGGAGTAACTAGGAAAGGCGAGACATGTAGCTCCTTTACACATGGTTGCGAAACTGTTGCCGTGAAGCACCTCCCTCCAGGGAAGTGTTTATAATATCCCCACTTTGGACTAGGCAGGCCTTGAACTTGGGATTCTTCTGCTTCAACTAGCATTACTGGGGTATGTTACTGCACTCAGTTTACAGTGTTTTCTCTAAAGATAGTTTTAGCTGATTATGATTACTAATAGCACAATGCAGGCAGGCCTTCAGTTGTGTGTTAATGGAGGGTGCAGCTCTGAGGACACCCACAACATGAGAATCTGAAAGAATTAATAAAGCAAGCTCAAGAGGACTTCATTGCCTCATAGGGGATCAGAATCCCAACCCATTCATCAGCAGCTAAGTGGAGCCTGAATTCGTGATCTACATCACACAGCCCTTCTGAGGTACTAGAAGCTCAGAAATGCTACCTCCATTCTTCTTCAGCTAAAACCTTGGTTGTTTTCTATCTTGTTCACAACTGCCATGCCACTCTGACCATGTAAAGAAACCCTACCACTCCTCACTAAACCTGTCAACAGCTAGTGAGGGGTTATGAATAATGTCAGTGAGGCAGCTTACCATGCAGTCTGTGTTCAGCTCAGAAGCCATAGAGATTTTCCAGAAGTGTACATGGGATTAAGTCACTTTTTCCTTCTAAACCTAGTGGTTTCTCACTGTCTGCCTCTGTCTTCACTTCCACCCTTATTTGCTCTGATACAATAGCCACGGTAGACTCTATACCCACCCCCTGCACACACTTGCAGCCCCTCCTCTGAGGTCTGTACTTTGCTTCCCTCTCTTTGGCTACACTACCTTATCTGTAGTGAAGTTTTCCTTGTTTAAAAAAATTTAGTGTGTGTGTGTGGGGGGGGAGGGAGTTGTGGGGAACAAGTTCCATAACACATGTGTAGAGGCCGGAGAACAACTGTTTAGTCAATTCTGTCCTTCCATGTTTACATAGGTTCTAGAGATGGAACTCAGCCTGCTGAGCCATCTCACCAGCCCCTCAACAACCTGTATTCTGAACTTCCCATCTTGCTCCCTGGCACTATGACAAAGAACAGGCTATTTGACCAAGCCCTGTTTCCCAAGCTTCTGTTTCTTCCCTGCTTGGTAAGTACTAGTTAGTATGCTCTATGAATGGCACTGCAGGCACTAGATTGTCCACTCAATAAAAAACACTAGCAAGTCACTAAATGACACCACTCCTGCCAAGGCCATCATGCCAGTGAGATTACATTTGATGCAGGCATGAAAAGGCAGCTCCCAAGGTAGCACACTCTTTCATAATTAGCAGTCAGCATTGCTAATGTGTTAACAGAATGAGCAATGGAGTGACCAAACCCCGAGGCTCTAAAGGAACACCCTAAGCATGAGGAGACTGCTGAGTGTGGAACCCATTAGCAAGATGTACCACTGTAAGTTCTTTACTGGAGACTCAGCACCTGCCAGCTCCAGGGCTGGGGACATTCTTGCTTTCACCCTAGCTACATGAATAAGATATTCACACAAGTGTGTGCCTATCACTCCACACTACCTCTAGGCCCTGTCTGTCAATGCTGGGGAAGAAAGAGCAGTGCTTCTAAAATACTCTCTTCGCTGGAGGGATAAGCAAAGACAGACAAATTCAACTTCTCAAAGTTAGTACAAAACATTTTCTTTTTTTTTTTTGTTGTTTTTTTTGAGACAGGGTTTCTCTGTGTAGCTTTGCGCCTTTCCTGGAGCTCACTTGGTAGCCCAGGCTGGCCTCGAACTCACAGAGATCCGCCTGCCTCTGCCTCCCAAGTGCTGGGATTAAAGGTGTGCGCCACCACACCCGGCTCACAAAACATTTTCTAATTTCCATTTTTATCTAAGTTCTTGCCAATTTTTAGTTTGGAGGTTTAGTCAAAATTCAGAGCTCTTTGTATTTAACTAAAATACCAAAGTTGGGTGTGGTGGTGTATGCTTATAATCCAGACATTTGAAAGATTGAGGCAGAAGGATCAGAGTTTGAGGCCAGTCTGGGCCACAAAGTGAGATACTGTAAAAACAAAACCAACCCAACAACCTAGTCCAAAACACCCAAGTTTAACAGTCTAGCTCCCTCACATGAATAGCAGCATCACAGGAACCAACTGTGCACATATTTTGGCTTCATTCCAGTGAAGGGGCTGAAAGACTGGAGATTCCTCCAACTTAGAGCCAAGTTAGAAAGCTGCAATGGAAGCCATAGGAGCTTATGCTGACATGGTGGGGGGCAGTAGGACAAGTGTGGAAGAAGCTATCCTTAGGTAAACATTAAAAAACAAAGGGCCAAAGCAACATACCAACATAGTAACTCAAGCTATGACTATTCAACACTGCAGAGAGGCATCTGAACCACTTAACGCAACAGAGTAAGGCAGCAGATCTAGTCATCTACTTGGCATACTCAATCTATTACCCAACTGACATTTCCACTGGTGAATGAGCTTTACTAAGACCACGAATTACATTCACAGGCACTGTCACTTTTTCAAGGACAAATAAGGGCCACAGTATTTAGAAATTATATTTACAGCAGTATTCTACAGTAGCCTACTGCTCCCCACCCCTCAAATGTGTACCTAACCCCACCAAAGTAAGTTGAATATATTCTGGGGAAGGAAATAACTAAAACCTCTTTGGTAGCTAGATTAATCCTTAAAATCTTTAAGAAAGAAAGAATGGAAAAGGTCTTAAGCCAATCCAACCATGTCAGCACAGCAAAATCTTGGGAGAGGGGCTAACCCAACAGGACATCAACATGCTTTGATATTCTTTTAATTAATTAACTAATTAATTAATTAACTTTGTGTGTTTGGGGGGCACACACATGCCACACATGTGGAAGTCAAACTTGTGGGGAGTTTGTTCTCTGCTTCCACTGTGTGAGTTCTGGGGATCAAATGCAGGTCAAGCTTGGCAGCAGGAGCTTTACCCATGGAACCACTTTGCTGGCCTGTTTGCAGGCTTCTCCCAGGGTCCTCTTCCTGTAGAATACCTATGTGGTCAAGGTATGATGACATCTCAGGGAGAACATGACTCTACTTTGAGTGAAAGATGGTGCTCATACCAGCTTTCCCTCAACGTGGGATGGGTGTAAATGCCCACCAAGACGGGGCTGGGAACACGTCTGTGCTGCTTGCACCATGTACTCAGGATTTATAAAATCTCTGCAGGCCTACTGATAGCATGCAAAGGAGCTGAGAAAAAAGTGTGGGCAGCAATGGCACCTTCTTTTACTACAGACTGCTCTCAAAGAAATCTGTTAAGACAACTTAGATACAAGATTGTAAAACATCAGTAGCGAACTTCTGCCCTCCGGGGTCCTCCCATTGTGCTGTAAAGCCTGTAATTAAGACCTCCTACCCCCTTCAAGAAATGACATTCGACATTTAAAATTATATATATATATATATATATATATATATATATATATATATATATATATTTGAATGAATACTGCGAATGTAATCTATGAATACCACAAATGTGATTAATATCATGAGTGTAATTTAATAAATAAATAAATAAATAAACAAATAAGAAATCTGTTAAGATTAAAGTTGTTTTTCTTTTTTGGGGGGTGGTGGTGAAATAGGAGGGAGATGTTTCTTGTAGTCCAGGCCTCAATCTTGCAAAGCAGCTGAGGCTGGCCCTAAACACCTTGTATTCCCCGCTACCCCATCTGTGTGTTTCTGTATGTGCAGTGCATGTGTGGGTACCTGTGGAGATCAGAAGTTTCTGACCCAGAGCTCACCATTTCCATTAGGCTGGGATCCTCCTGACTCTCCCCCGAGGCTGGGTTACAGGTGTTTACTGCCATGCCCAGCTCTTACATAGGTCCTGGGGATTGAATACAGGCCCTCATGTTCCCACACCAAGTGCTTTATATAACAAATCATCTGCTGGCCATATAATCAATATATCATATAATCAATATAATCAATAAGATTGATTTGCGACCCCAACTGGCAACAAAATGTCACAACATAAGAGGACAGTGCCACTCTTCAGAGCAGCCAACCATTCACAGCTACCAGCTGGAGTGGTTTCAAATTCAGCCTCAATTAACTTTAACCAAATGACTAGTACAGAGAAGCCCAAGTACTACCCAGACATGTAACATTTTTATAAAAAGACTGTGCCTGCCCTTCCTGCTGGTCAGCACTGTTGACAAGAGTGTGTTTGTTGGCCAGGCAATGGCACACACATCAGAGCCCTCAGACCTACTGTAACCACATGGCTCCACAAAGCTCCCTTCTACAGTCATCTCTTTACTTTTCTTGTTTCATAATTCTGTATTAACCCCACCTTTAAAAGCCATTACTTGGGGGCTGCAGAGATGGCTCAGTGGTTAAGAGTACTACTGGCTGCTCTTCCAGAGGACCCGGGTTCAATTCCCAGCACCCACATGGCAGCTCACAACTGTCTTTAACTCCAGTTCCAGGGGGTCTAATACTTTCACACCAATGTACATAAAATAAAGTTAAATATAGATATAAGCCATTACTCCACTACTCTAGTCAATGGAGAGGCAAAGGTCTATGCAGAGGAACACAGGATGACCCACGGCTCTACAGCTCTTATCTGTGAAGAGCTGCCTCCTGCTACATAAATAATTTGTTAATGACTGAGGTATTATTACAAGAAACTCAAGGCCACCGTGGCTAGTGCTGACAGCACTTCTGAGTCAGGCCACCACCCTGATCACCAGCTGCCACATGCTAACAAAGATGCATTCTCTTCTGCAAAAACTAAAACAAAGCAATACTCACCTTAAAACTTAATGTGTTTAAAAAACAAAAACATATTCCAAAGTCCAATATAATTTTTTAAAATTATCAATGCCATTATTCCCTGGCTGAAAGTACCAACAAATTCAGTTCAACATTAAAAAGCTGAAGTTTCAGAGTCATCTACAACCCTCTTTTCTAAAACTGTCCTAAAGTGAGAATAATTTCAACTCCATAGCACTTGGAACATCCATGGGAGTTTGGGATTCTAAGCAACTCAAGAGTGACATGAGGCCCAATGTAGAAAGCCACAGAACAAGAGGAAGGCAGAGGATGGTGCTGAGGTGCTTAGGGGGCAGGACCCAGGTGAGACAAGACACTCATATGAGCTGCAGTGGACATGGGTGGCTTTTTAGTACCCTTTTGCCATGCAAGGCAGGTTACTAGGAGGTGACTGAACAAATCAAGAATGCTGTGAATACTGTCCTCTTTCTGCAAAGAGCTTATCCTTGGCCCACATTCACTGGGCCTAATGGATATCTTTAACATTTTCCAAGTACATAGGCAATGGCCGAGAGCACCAAAAATCCCCAGAGACATAACCTTGTGAAACCTACTAGATCTACCGTGTTCCTCTTGTTCGTCTCTCCTAAGGAGCTCGTGCAGAATGTCTCCCATCGCTCCCGGACTTCGTCGGGAAGATCTTCAGAGTGAAAAAGGAAAAAAAGCATTATCACACAGTGACCCATGAGGACAAGAGTGCACAGTCTCAAAGAGGAGCTGCATTAAGAGTATGTGGGGAGTCCAATCAGCTGAAGTCCTGGCTATGGCTAGCCCAGTGGTCCAAGAGGAATGAGTCTAAACAACTCCAACAGGCCCAGTCCACAGACCTGAGCCTTAACGCCCCACCCTACCAACAATGTAGGCCTGATCTGGGCAAGAGCAGTGACTTAGGAATTACTAACAGTGCTTTGCTGAAATGAAACATGGAATTGTATCTCCAAACAACTCTTCTGAAAGGAGACAGGCAGAGGTGGGGTAAGAACTGTTGGGTCAAGTTTAAGAAACTCTACAAGCATTAGCTTCTGTCCTTCGCTGGGATCCTGTAATGGACACCTGACTGGTGAATGAATGGTTCACAGAACCCTGCTGGATGCTGAGATTGCACCTGTACTGTCTCCTACATATTTGGCTCATAAACAAATCATGAAGAAATGCTCTACAGCCAAATTCTACTTTCCAGAGAAACTTTGAAAGAATGACTTACAATGACTTTCTGAGAAAATGAAGCCATGGCTCTACACCTTAGAGGCCTACCTACAGAAGGGTGGTCACCTGAAAATTCTGGTTTAAGCAACCATACACAGGCGCACACTTATACAAGTAACTTCCAGGAATGGCCTTCTCTCCTTGATAAGGATATGAACCCTGAGGGGTGGCTTAAGCAAAATTACAGGTGAACCAGCCTCAGTTTTTTTGTCACTGGGTAAGAAATAGGCTTTTAGTGCACACTCAACAGAGCACCACTTCTTACCAAGAGTGTCAGTTTCCCAAATTCAAACAAGTCTCTGAACTAGTTATGCCCACTAGACAGAGGCCTGCAGGTCAGGGCACTGGTGCTCTCATTCTGGCAAAAATGAACTTGTGCTCTGAGCCCTGTAAGTCACCTTGGGCTGATTCAATTTAAATGTTGGTAGAAAAAGAATCCTTTAGGAGCCAAAGTCTGTCGTTTTAGTAACAGAGACACGGAAGAAAGGCTAACAGTGCTTTAGTATCTCAAGTAAGGAATTTAATCCACAGGAGGGAGGATGGGGTAGATTCTGGACAATGAGAGGTAGCTCAGTGCTTACAAACATTTGTTACTTTTCCAGGGAACCTAGGTTCTGTTCCCAGCACCCACATGTGGCTCATAACCATTCATAAAGCAAGTTGCAAGGGATCCAATACCCTCTTCTGACCAGGTATGAACATGGTGTATATACATGCATATAGGCAAAATACTAATATACATGGGGGGGGGGTACGCTTCAGAAGAAAAAGCAAGAGCCACCATAGTTTGAGTGGTTCTACTCCAATACAGAAACACAGAACCAGGTCAGAAGCTGGAGAGATGGCTCAGGACTTAACAGCACTGACAACTCTTCTAAAGAACCTGGGTTTGAAGAAAAAAAAAAAAAAAAAGAACCTGGGTTTTATCCCAGGCAACTCACAACCACCTATAATTCCAGTTCCAGAGGAATCTGACATCCTCTTTGGACCTCCACAGACACTGAATGCACATGGTGTACAGACACACACACAGGCAAAAATACCCATACACATAAAATAAATAAATAACCCTCCCTCCCAAGACAGGGTCTCACTGTGTAGCTCTGGCCATTCAGGAACTCACTGCACAGACCAGGCTGGCCTCAAACTCACAGAGATCTGCCTCCCAAGTGCTGAGATTAAATTCGTATACCACTGTCTGGTGAATAGATAAATCTTAAAACAAAACAAAAAGCCAGGGCATCAACAGTGCTCTGTAACAGGAAGTGACTCCAGCATGCAAAGGTATAGTGAGAACTACATGGTTCAAACATTCTCAAGAGCCACAGTGAGCTAGCCAAAGAGTCTCTAAAAAGTAAAGAAACTTCAACCTGTTCCCAGCACTGAAACCTCTCCCCTGCTCTCTGATCCCACACAAATGCCATGAGAATTGGTGAAATGACTTACCTTTGATAAGCTGCTGTACTAACGCACTATTCGGACCCTTGTCAGTGCTGTGCACAATACAGTTAGCTATCCTGGTGAGGTGCCCCATGTAACCATGCCGTCGTCCTCCCTCAGCCCTGACAAGAGAAAGAAAAACTATTCAGAATGGGGGACTGGACACTTAGCATGGCAGCAGAGTAACAGGACAGTTACTCCAGTGTCAGCAACAACCTCTGTCACTGACGGTATCTGAAGCAAACGTTCATTAATGCCCCTGCCACTAGAATTTTCCTTTACAGTTTTGTAAAACTCTCAATTTCAGAATTTAATTAGATTATAAGAAACTGAGGTCAGAATTTTGTTGGCCTAACCCCCAACAAAAGACATCAAGTTCTATTTGTGCTAACTGACAGGCATAAATTATAAATACTAATGGCAATTCTCAACGTGACACAGTGGCTTCTCTGAAAACTTGGCTGAGGTAAGGAAGGTCCCTTGCACTTGCTAGAGACCGTTCAGAACAGGCCAGTGAACTCAATCCTCAATGCTTTCTTCTGCCAAGATCTACTTTCTAACCACATTCATTTTTACATTAAGATTATTTTTTAATGTCCATGACTTACAAAATAAAGGATTTTTGTTGGAGTCAGCAGGGCAGAGACTCAAGAGATACTTGCTTAAAGGGAGAAAACCCTTTCAGGAGTCACTAAAAGATAACAACTCTGTGCTTGGAGGTCCGCCTGGAAAATACAATACCTGCTGGGTAAACTCCAGGGCATGTGTGGAATTTGAGGCTCACACTGAGCTGCAAAGGCTGCCTTTGGTTCCACAGTAAGCTCCAGAGACTCTAGTGTTCCCAAAGACAACTTCTTAGCCCTCCCATACTCCCTTAAGGCCACAGGTAAGAAACAATAGCCTATCTGCATGGCTTCAGACATAGTGAAGCACTAGAGAAAACTCTTAGGATCCGCGAGCTTGTGGGACTGTTTATTCATCTGGCCTTTAGAGGACAGGCCCACAGAAAGAGAAGAACATACCGGATACTTATGTGCTGGCCCAATGAGGCAGGAAGAGGAAGAGAATGTAGGTGGAAGGTCATAGAGCACACAGAACAGCTGACAGGTCAGACACAGAATGAGAGTTGTCCAGCAGGCCTCACACAGTTCCCCTAAAGGAGTGCCACCTGGAATAATGTGCCTGCTAATCAAACCCCTTGCTACAGCCACAATAGCTAGTACCAATTTCCAGTACGGCCACATCAAAACCCACTTGTGTTTCTTAGTGTTTATTAAGTTCATCATGACCACCACCAACACCAATACACGCAAGCTGATTCCTGCCCTGAATCACTCAGCTCCTTCAGGAGCTAAATCCAGATCCGAACAGTAACAGCATAAACTACTGAAGATAAACTCAGTTGGTCAAATGCAGCCTAGCTTGCACTAAAGTACTGGATTTGATCACTTGCACCTCATAAAAGCAGACATGGGTACATGGTTGTAATCACAGCACTGAAGAAGAGGCAGGACCAGAGAGAGGTTCAAGGTTACCTTCAGCTCACCTTCCAATGACTTTGATGCCAGCCCCCCAAAAGAGAGAAGGGGAGGGGGAGACAAGGCATCTATGAACGATGATGGAGCATTCATTCTACATTCTGACTGCAGTGGTGGTTATGTAAGGCTTCACACAGCAGTCATACTTCCTGAAATGGGTTATCTAGGAAAGGTATATCATGACAAATGAGAAACAGACTTAAACCTGACTCAGAAGGAAGCACAGTCATGTTCATAAAGAGCACTGGTCAAGCTAGACATACTCATGAAATACAGTGAAGCCAGAGAGCCACCTCCTCACCACAAACTAAAGCAATGCAAACGGAAGACTGAACTGAAAACAGACACCATGAAACCACTAGAACAAAAAACACTCGCAAGCCTAGTCTGGGCAAAGACATTTTGGAAAACACCCCAAAAACACTAATAAGAAAAGCAACCAAAAGCAAATGGGATCACCTCAAACTACGAAGAGCCTGTAGCAGATGGGAGACATTGCACACAGGAGGTTAGTGGGAGCCTGAGCACTTCCACAGTGGGGCACTGCCAAGAGAACACAGAAAGACCAACAGCAAATCCCTCCTGATTCTCCCTACATTTTATGTTTATGGTATAAATAGTTATTTCCCAAGAGAAGACACACAAATGGCCCAAAGATATACAAAAGACACACAGTGTCACTAATTGACAGGAATATACAAATCAAAACCACAAGGCTCAGATGAAGATTGTTCAGAAATGGTATTAATAAAAAATGGGGCAGTCAGACATAATAAACAAAATTCTGCCTGCCATTGTGGAATTGAACACTATCAGGAGAGGTAAGAAAATATGAGAAGACATTATGTTCTTACTCACGTGGAAACTAAGAAAGCTGACTTCATAGAAGCAACAAAAATAATAGTGGTTACTAGAGGCTGGAAGAATAGGGGAGGAGGGCAGAGGGTGAACAGTGAGTTCTAACCTCTCCCAATGACCAAGTCCCAGCATCCCACAGCATGGCAGGACGACCAGTTTACCTACATACCCCAAATTATCAAGAAGAGAAGGGACTGAGGATTCCAGCACAAACCAATGCTAATGGTCAGGACTCAATCTTCCCACCAATATAAACACATATAAAAACCACCACCCAGTAATGCCATCCGTAAGTTAGGTGTCACTTTTATAGACACACCCAGCCTCATACAGCAGCACATCCTGAAAGGACTTTCCAAACCCTCCCTACACTGCATGTTTCAGAATCCGGGGGTGATGCAAAAACTCCCAGGGTTTTTAAAATGGTGCCCACTAGCCACTGCTGTTGCTGCCGCCACCATGATGATGACCACCACCACCACCACCACCACCACCACCACCACAAGAACATCTTATGTATGTCCGTAGGGCCAACTAACTTCCCAAAAGCTTGTCTATGAAGAGAATAGTCAACACTGTTCCCCTTTAGGTAGCTACCTGCAGTGACGCTTTTCTCTGAGAGCATGTGCATGGAATGCTCTGCCCTGAGAGGGTAATCACTGCACACCAGGGGAGAGCCAACTTCTGACTGTTTTTATTCAACTTAATACTATTTTCAGAAAGTCTTCCAAACAACAGTTCCAAAACCTGAACAAAGGTTATTAGAAAAGTATCTGTTATGATGCAACTTTATTTTCACTTTCTCTAACTAGCCAAGGGGAGATGCTAAGATTTTCTGTAAATTACAAATCAAATTGTACTGCTTTCCAAAACAAGTTACTTACTGTTTCTTCTCATTTGTGTCCCAGGCTTCAAGAATTCGCTCTATTAGTTGACATTTTTGGAAAAGCTAAATAAGAAAGAACACTCCAATTATTCCTATTATTCAAACAGTGGTTAAAGCATTAAAACACTAAAGCAAACTAAGCTTGGTGGATCTGCCTTTAACTCCAGAATTCTGGAGGTACAGACCAGCCTGATCTACATAGTGAGGCCCTGTCTTTTAAAAACAAAAAAAAAACTTGACATAAAATGAAACTGCATGTGGTTCTTAGTCACTGGTCCACCCAAATGCAACATGGTGTCATTTATTCCAGATCCCCTGTGCTCAGTTCCATTAGGACTCTGGCCACACAGAGCACTAGGTAACTTGCTGCTAAAGGTGTTGCCACAGTAAGCAGTGAACCTGAGGCAAAGCTAGGATCTGTTAACTAGAAAAAGCTGGTCAACAGCACAGGGTCCAACTAGAATTCAAATGATCAAAGTATGCTCTGGTAAATTTAGTACAGCTCTATTTTTCTGTTTGCTTTATTTTACTAGAGGATGGGGGTGGGGAGTGGGTTTAAGACAGGGTCTCATGTAGGACAGGCTGGTCTTGAACTCACTAATTCTGTCTTTACCTAGTATATGCTAGGTTTATAAGCATGTACAACCATACCTAGCTTACTTCCCTTTTAAATGTGGACAACACGACTTGAACATATCCTAATACTTGTGTAATACTGAGAACTTGTGTCCTACCAAAACTCTAGCAGTCAAAGAGAAGCAGCTGTGGGCTACAAACGTCAGTGAGCAATGGCACTTGTCTGCTCTAGTCACCCGGGTGCTCAGGCGAGCCTTTCTGCTTTCCAGGTCAACCACAAGGGAACTAGGAGTAGGTAAAACCATAGGAATGTAGAACTCTAAAGACTGACCCAGAAAAATCACTGTAAAATGGGAATTTTACAGAAAAGAGACCCTCAAGCCAGGTATCACTGCACATGCTTATTTATAACCCCCTCATCTCTTGGGAGCCTGAGACAAAGTTCATGAGTCCAAGACCAATCTGGTCTACACTGTAAGTACCCTCTGCCCCTTGCCCATAAAACAAAAGAGAGACCCTAAAAACATCACTCAACACTGACTAAAACTCATTTTGCTAAACTTTTAGGCACCTATTCAGCACCAAAAGTTAAATTCTGGTGTGCCATAGTACTGTATAAGCATTCTCAGTAGTACTTAATTATCTATGGTTCTTTTAACGCCCTCAAGGTAAGTTCAAACTTCTTATGTTGCCAGGAGAGTGGGTCTACAGTTCATTTAGAGGTGTTATGTCCAGGATGTGATTAACAGAATCACTGGTCCAAGTGCAATGAGCATGTGGTAGCTAAACCTTCCGACGTGAAAACTATTCAATCTGTTTTTCAACTGTGATTGATTTCACACTCTGGAAAACACAGTAACAAGAAAATAATGCTTACATGCTTCAATAACAAATTGTCACCGGCAGAGTCTTGATCAGTAATGGTGCCATTTTCTGCATTCTCAAAAGGACTGGCAAGAATGAGCGCAATACAAATTTCTACTTGCGTATGTAGAAAGTTATTCCATGTGTACTTGAAGAACATGTCCTACAAAATAAAGTGCAGTCTCTTCAATTAGCTCAGTGCTGGAGCCACCACTTTAAACATCCACACAGTAGTAATTGTTTCAGGGTGAGGAGATGCTCACTCAGTAAAGCGGTTGCTGAGTAAGTGGAGGATCTGATTCTGGGTCCCAGCACCTACTAAAAGCTGGACATGGTGGCATATAAGTCTGCAATCAGTGCAGGGGAAGTGAAGACAGATAGAGCTAACGGACCATCCAGTCTAGCCTAACTGATGAGCTTCAGAGTCAATGAGTCTCTGTCTCTAAAGACAAGGGAGAAGGCTAGCAAGTTTTGGCCTAGAAGGTAAAGGTGCTTGCCACCAAGACTGACTACATGAGCTTGATGCTGGGAACACACATGATAGAATAGAGAGAACTGACTTCGAAAGCATGTAGTCTGACCTCAACATGGAATCCATGATGCCATATATGCATATGTACAAACAGACATATATACATCCCCATTAAAAGTAACAAAAGTTTAATATTTAAAGGGGAGGTTTGAAACACTACTTCATAATCCATATAACTATTCATTCAAAATGAAATGCTAAATTTGCATAGACTACATTAGAAAATAGAGGAAAGTTCCAGAAACACGAAGAAAAGATGAGCATAACCTTCTCACAGAGAAAGTTTTTAAAGTGATGCAAATATCCAGTTGAGTCCATTTCCATGCTCTTCACTTTGTGACTCCAGGGAGAATTACCATTGCTTCTTCAGACCACCAAGCAAGCAGTAGGCTTTGCTTTGCACTTTCATGAACTGCACAATTAAGGTTCATTTTTAAATGAAGAAATGGAATACAGAACATTATTTTTATTGAAAAAGAAGGTCTAGGTTAACCTAACAGTGTCGTCATAATCTCTGCTGTCAGCAGAATGTCAATCTGTAGATAGCAGCTTGTTAATTCTCTCATTCCTGTTGGAAGGTGGGCTTCCTGCTCAGAGCCCCTAAGTGTGCAGAATGTGGGACAGTTATTAACAAGGTAACCCTGTCACAGATGTGGCCCTGAGCAGAGCCAGTGCCTCGGGATGTGCGTGCCTCTGCCAGTTTTGTTTTGTTTGCTCTAGTACTTCCTGGATTCCCAGTGTCCCCCAAACTTGGCTTCCCAGAGGTGGGGAGGGAACGAGCTCTTCCGCTTTACTGTGTGGATAGGTGTCAGAAATAAGCGGACGCCTTTAGCACCTCCCATCACACACAGGCCTGGGACAAGTCACACTGAGTTCAAAGCAGCTTCAGTGCTCAGGGTGGCAGTACTATTAGAGATCTGTCCCCACCCACTCCAGGGTGGCAGTACTGGACACTGAGTTCAGACCACACCCATTTCAATTTGTAAGACTTAGGAACTATCAAGGGTGATTTCAAATGTCTGTGAGGAAGAATCTCACCAATATGACACCAATGCTGTTCAGTTCCATCAGGTCCCCATTTATACTGCTGGTATTGGTTTGGAGCAGGCTGGATATCAACCTAATCACATTCAACCGAGTGTTCCCAACAGGAGGGTCCAGTATACCCCATGTAGTCTTCATTACACTTTTCTGAAGAAGAAAAAAGCCTTCAAATTAAATTCAGTTAAATGAATAAACAAAAAGCCCATGTGCTGACATATAAGGCCAGCTAACACCCATACCATTTACACCTGACCCCTGAGAGAAATCTAAACTTGCAGCTGGAATCTTTACAAGAAGTCAGAAACAGCTACATATGGTAAAAGATGAGTGTTTGCCCCTCATGAAACGTGATGGATGCCTTGTTCTGGTCTAGAAAGGGAGTTTCAATAATCTGAAATCACAAGACAGAAGCAGATACTGCAGCATTTTAGACATTCTGACAGGAAAGAGTGACAAACTAAAATGCCCTCCCTGAAGGTTCCATACAAGGCCCCCCAACTCACTCACTCATCTCTGGAACCCACATGGTGAAATGGAAGGAGATAACCAGCTGCTACAAGTTGTCCTCTAATCCACACACACAAACTTTTTAAGAAACAAAACAATACCAAAACATAGTATGTAATGCTAATTAGGGTCAACCTCTTATTTCCAAGATTCTCAGACTGCCTAAACCAAACCTTTACACTTGCCCACTCTCCTCTTCTGGCCCAAGCCTTACAGTTCCACTCCATGGAACTTGGAGACTTTTTAAAAAACTTCATGGTGCCTAGGGGTGATTGCCTGCTTAGCATGTGTAGACTACATTCAATCCTTACCACAGCAAGCAAGTTCATTAATCAATTAAGCTTCTTTAAAACACTCCCTGAATCTACTTATACTTACACACGTTATCACTGAGTGAAGCTACCTGTGTTACTCATTCCTAGAGTGAAAGGAATCTCAACAAGAGATTGACTCAGTTATGAATTGGGGCCATGAGGCAGGGGCCTCTGTATGCACTTAGGGAGAAGCTGAGTGGACCACCTAAGACACAGGCTGAGCCCCCATCACACCTCTCCTATCCTCTTGGCTCCATTTTTTATTGGTGATGCTCTCTCTTCTTTTAGATTCTTTTTCTTACTCTTGCTCCAAGGACTGCCAAGAAGGATGCCACTGGCAATTTAGCTGCTAATCATTGAAAAAAAGTTTCCTAGGGTGAATGAGCTGAATAAAGATGCAGAGCTCTGGCTGGAATGGGCCCAGCAGGACCCTGAGCACATAGAGAACTGCTAGGTACTCACACAGCAATGGGCATCTGAACAACAATTAGGAAGCTAACCAGACCCTTGGGCTCTGGACTTAAGGTATTCTGCTGTCCCCTCCTTCAAAAGGGTAAACAGAAAACAATGTGGTCGTCTGAACAAGAATGGTTCCCACAGGCTCATGTATTTGAATTCTTGGTCCCCAGGGAGTGATCAGCAGGATTAGGAGGTATGGCCTTGTTGGAGGAATTGTGTATGTTGGAGGATGGGCTTGGAAGTTTCAAAAGCCTTGCCAGGGCCAGTTTAACCCTCTCTGCCTGAAGATCAGGACATAGCTCTTAGCTACTGCTCCAGTGCCATAACTCTTACTCCCATAATGACAATGGACTGAGACTCTAAAACTGTAAGCAAGAACCTATTAAATGCTTCCTTTTCTAATAGTTGCCTTGGTCATGGTGTCTTTTCACAGCAAAGAACAGTAACTAAGTAACGAGACCTCCTATACAGTGACAAATGCATATACTAAATTCTCAATGCATCATACCAATGTATACACTACAGATGACACTGGATCCAAATATACAGGGTAAAGACCCAGCACTAGAACAGTGTGATTCCTAGTGTGTCTCTGGTAGGTCTCCTCAAGTCCTACTGTGTTCAGTTCTGCACACACATGTTCCTCATGGAAAAGCAACACCCTGCTCCAGGTCCTTTCCAAGTTGTACAAGACCTCAGTAGACTGTATCTCAATTAAAACATCATCTGTCCATACTATCCCCAAGCTCATATGAAAATGCAATTTTAAAAACCAGGTCATGAAAGGTTAATGTAGTGTATAGCTGTTCTGTCTGGGACCATGAAACATCACCCCTAGAGATGTAGCAGGTAGTTAACTGTCCCACATACCCATGACTTTGAAGTACCTGCTCCCGGGGAGTGCCTCAGGCTACCTTTAAAACCTGAGAAACACATAGGCTGCCCTCTTCCCTCTCTCATGGAACTTGGATGCTGGGACAGTCTCAGGCAGAAGAACAGTGTGGGACCCTGCTTCACCTTTTCAGGACCCTGTGACAATTCCTCTGTTCTATCTTATGAGGTTTCCTTT